CATGTTATATATGTGTAATTAAAGCTTCTGTATATATTTATATTTTAATGCATAGACATATGTATGTGATAAAATTTCAGGATACGGACCATTTTGAAACGGTGGATATCTTTATACATTATCGAGAATATTTTATGAAGACAAAATCAATATATAATCTATTTTAATATTTGCTATATATTTGTGAGGACCTATTGGATAATATATTTTGTTACTTAGATATACATTTAAGATTTTACTGTATTAGAGAATGTAGAATGAAGCTATCCCAAATAGCACATAGCGTTTACAAAACGTTAACAAAGCACTAAAAAAATCGCTTTTTTTAACGTTTTACAAGCGCTGCTACTTGGGATATATTCACGATGTCAGAAATTGTTCCAAGATCTCAAACTGAGAAAGAGTTTGTCAATTGCATTGATCAATTAATCGAATTGTTCGAACGTGATTTATTAATTCCTTCTTCATCTAAGATTTCAGAGCAATTTCTAGCATCGGGAACATAAGGCTTTAGAATAAATATTATACTGGTTGGAAGAATTTATTCATAGGTTTGCGTTGTTTGAAATTTCCAAGAATTTTAGCATTTAAAAAGACGCAGATTGAGATAAACATATATTTGAGCGTTGAAGAGAGAGAGAGAGAGAGAGAGAGAGAGATAGAGAGAGAGAGAGAGAGAGAGAGAATGAAAATGTAAAAGGTGCAAGCAACACAAACAGAGCTATGATTTTGTGTAGGTTTACATGAGGTTTACACGAAACTCCCTATTGTTCTTATATTTCATGCAGGAATTTATAATTAGTAGGGGAAATTGGGTGAATTGTGCGCACCTAAGGGAAATTTATTGTCCTTGAATGATTTTCCAAGTTCAAAGTGATATAAATATGATATAGAAACATTTTTCTATCATTACATATCTTCATATCGAACAGATTTTTATTCAATAAAATTATATTTAATAAAAAAGAAGAAATGAAAAAGCGAAAAAATTTCTATCTCGGGTAATTGTGCGCATGGGTTGAATAATTGTGCGCAAAGCTAAAGTCGTAAGAAATGAATGAATTACGGAATGTTGACAAAGAAATCAGAAAATATATTGCGATATAAATATATATTAAATATATTTTAAATATGTATGCATATGTTAAGCAAAAACTAGTGTAATACTAATACACATAGACAAATAATAATGCAAAGAAAAAACGAAAAAATGAGTGCTCATATAGTATTATATATGGAAGATGGGTAATTGTGCGCACTTCAAAACGCTTGCGCACAGTCGCCGCGGCCTGACTCGATATGAAATACGATTACTTCAACATTTCTTACTAATTTAATAAATAATCTCAAAAGACGCACATAATAACATACTTTAATAATGTATGCAACTTTAATCAAACAAATTAAAAATACCAATTTTCTGACTGCTAAAATAACAAGAAAAGATGTGATTTTACTTTTTTGTATTTCTCTGGTTAACAACGTATTTATGTCGTATCTTTTGTAGTTATATCTTAAGAGGACGACCTGCGTAAAAATTTCACCACAGTCTTCATCCATTGGATGTTTTCATCCATTGGAAAAGTATTAAACCAGAATGCGCACAATTACCCGCTACTACATTTCCCCTACTTATTATGCATTCTGTAAATAAAATTGACAGGTTAGGGGCTCCGCACAATAAAAAGAACAGGGAACAGAAATGATATTCACTTTATTTAATTCCATCATGTTCATGTCTATTACATACTGAATGCGATGAGCGATGAGCGATATCTGAAGGGCGCATTCAATAGACACAACAGTTGAGTAAGCATTGCCATTGATGTATTCTTCTAGAGCTAAAATTCTGATTGGATGAGTTAAAAGAATATACCAATAATAGTAAGCAGTTACTCAACTGTTGAGTCTACTGAATACGCCCAATGAGTGCTCTGCTTTACTTCATCACGTGAGCAAAAGCAGGAGATTGATTCTGTTCTGTCTGATCTTGAAACGAGATGAAAATTACAAAAATGAAAAAATTTACTAGGTATTGACCAATGAAATTATCAATGTTCTAATATATTCGTTCATTTTTGTAATTTTCATCTCGTTTCAAGATACGGAATCGATCCCTAGAGCTTTCATTGGATATCGCTTGTGACTGATCGCTCATCGCATCACAACATGCTCCTACTTTCTCCAATCGTAGTTTCTACTCATTCAATCGCGCTCGTTAAGCTATAATAGTCTCACACACACACACTTTCCGTAACAGTAACGTAATCGTAACGTAGATTTTCGACTAATCATGTTGCTTGATTAGGCCATCCGTAATCGTAAAAATAAAGCAAATCGATTAGTCGAAACTCTTACTGTTACGAAAAATGTGGTTTAGTTTCCATTTTAAATCGGTGTAAGAAATTTACTAGATATAAACACAATAGAGATACCAACAGCGTCAGGTCTGTTTGCCCTGTTGTCAATGACAGAACGAAAGTCTACCAAATCGGAGGAGAGAACAGGCCTACGATTAAAAGGAGAAGCGCCCTGATATTTTTCTTTGTATTCGTCAATTGTTTACACCGGATTTGAATGTAAGAAAGAACCAACCAATTACAGTCGAATAGTTCCCTGTTACAGTCAAATGATAGAGGCATGTAGTTGATTGGTTCTTATTCTTTGTATCAATCATGAAAGTTTATCCCTAAGATGGAAAGTGAAAAGTGAAAATTTTAACTATTGAAGATAATGGAGAAATTTTTCACTTTTCACTTTTTATCCTAGGAAAAAAGTTTCATAATTGATACCCTGAGAGCCGGTTCCACCTTTTAGTAAATTTTACCAGTGAAGTAAATCTGGGAATCTGCGCGTGTGATTGGGTAATGTTGCTTATTCAACAGGAAAAATTTACCAAAAGATAGAACAACTGGCCCTGGGCCCCTATTCTTGAGCATATATGAATATGAAATTTTCGCATATGAAAATAAAAGTTTCAAGTCAATTGTGATTAGTTGATTGTACGGAATTGCTATTTTCGAATGCGATATTTGTTCAAGAATAGGGTCTCTCCGGTTTAAATTCTCCGTGAAAACTAAGCCTGTGATTAGCTTTAGAGGCTCCGCACAATAAAAGGAACGGAGAACAGAGAATAAAAATTTCAATCCTATCAGAAATCATGTATTGCTGAATACACAGTTTCTGATAGGTTAAAATTCTTATTCTCTGTTCCCTGTTCCTTTTATTGTGTGGAGCCCCTTAGAGTGAGTAGGAGCTAGGTAGGTAGGAATATGTTGAAGCATGTTGAAGTGAACAAACCTGTAGTGTTGTATCGACGATTATGGTAAATTGGTGCAATTGAGTGCAAATCGGTTTTCATATTCATTTTTAGTGTTAAATAATTTAATTCTTTTAAGGTTATGAGGTTATCACAAAAAATATGTAACTAAAAGAGTTAAATTATTTATTATCATTGAAAATATGAATGAATTAATTTGCTACGTTTGTTAAGGTATTAAGTAATTGGAAAATATCCAGTCTGAATCGAAACACTGCCAAGTTGAAGGAGTGTATCAGGTTTCTGTTTATGGAACAGTTTGGAATTGATCCATTGCTTCTGCACTGTTCTGCACTTTAGTGTACTTTCACTAACTACGACTGTGGCCTGTAGTTGTATCAATCGAGCGTTTTGAGAGTTCGTGACCACTAATTTTCTACGATTATCGTGTGTGCTTTTCGCCAAATCCAAATGACATGTAATGTATGTTTGGCGTGCTTTAATCATTATGATAGTTGAATAGTCGTGAGTTCTTAAAGTGCCGTTGATGATTCAAGTCCTGTAGTTTGCTGATGGTCATTCGTTGTTGAACACTATTGAATACATTTTTTAAAGGTTCTTTTAAAAAGCACCAGCAAATTAATCTTTGCTTTTAGACGGTGGGAAAACTATGTAGTTGCAATGGTTGCGAGCACGATTGATATGACTGGATCTATATACCATGAACGACAAGTAATTTGTTAATGTTATTATTTCATAAATTATTTTTATATCGCATTTATATTGTGTAGAAAACTCATCACATTATACACAATGCGAAGCATTGTGAATGGAATATTGATATTTAAAAATATTTTTACTATATTTGAAAAAAGTCTTTTTACTTACTTTGTTGTGTACTTATGTTATATAAAATTATAAATTGAAATATAGGTGAAGGAGCTGTGTGCATTACATGCGTTAAACAACTTGTTTCAAGAGCGTGGATTTAGCAAGCAAGAATTAGATCAAATTTGTTACAGTTTAAGTCCAGATGTATGGATTAATCCTCATAAATCTCTATTAGGTCTTGGCAATTATGATATTAATGTTATTATGGCTGCTCTTCAAAGAAGAGGACGCGAAGCTGTATGGTTCGACAAACGTAGGTTCGTAATCATTGATATCGTAAGAATATGACCATATAAATTACGATTATAAACGTTTATTAATTATTCCTTCTGCCTTAGAGATCCAAAGTGTCTTCGTTTAGACAACATCGAGGGTTTTATACTTAATGTCCCAACTGAATACAAACTAGGTTTTGTGCTACTTCCTTTGAAACGACGTCATTGGATCGCTTTAAAAAAGATACATGGTGCCTTTTATAATCTTGATTCAAAACTGGACTCGCCACAATTAATAGGAAAGGTTATTAAATAATATAATTAAATAAAATTTGTTAAAAAATATAAACATATTTTTATATATTTTGCAATATTAACTATATTTTTTTTTATATCAGGACAACGATTTACTCATATATCTAAAGGATCAGATAGATAGCAAGGAAAAGGAACTATTCCTTGTTGTTACTAGAGAAATTGATAGCAATCAAGGATGGTTAATAGATACATGTGAAAATCAAGATGACAATAACATGGATCATGATTCCATTCGATATATCGAGGATGGATACCCAGATATAGATTTGAAAAAATCCGAATCTAAAGAAATGAATGAAAATGAAGAATTCCTAGATAACAAAAATTCTAGATAATTGAAGCCACATGCAACATGTTCCACTCAATTATGTATTTATTCATTCTCTTGTTGCTAATTTCAGGAAGGGTAATTATAATTATTGCAAGAAAAGACTTGGGATTATATAAAAACAGAAAGAATACACAGAGAAAAATAAAGCAGATAATGGGAATTACATGTAATAATTCACTGAGCATGATTTGCAATGTTTTTAATCGTATTTATGTGTTAATACAAATGTGATATTTTTATCTATTTACTTTTATTTGAGAAGTTATTTATACATTGTGTACATTTCGTACTATTTATGACACATGCGTAACAACGCATTTTAAGAAATAATATATGTAAGATATATATAGTGTTGTATTCAAAATGAAAATATATTGCTTTATTAAAAGTTAACATATATAAGAAAAGAACTTGTATTTAAACAACAGCTACTTGTATGTGTATATCGTGATATTATTTATATGTGATAATCATATCTCTGTCGTTTTAAAAAGCTCTCTCTTGTATAAATAAATACACTTGTAATATGAAATTGTTATAATACATTTTAGGTACAATCATAACTTTTACACAATAAATACACTTGCAATTTTTTTTATAATGTAATTTTAATCCTGTATATAAGATGGTATTAAGAGTACACATTATTTATATTATATAAGAGCATAAAATTATTTATATCACATGGCATATATTTAAGTTATGACTTTAAGCATCAAATAATTAGAAATTATTTATTTTTATTATTGTACTGCATAAATAAAGAATCAATCAGCCAATGAACTTCTATACAAATATACATATTATATAAATAATGATAACATTGTTATAATATATATTAGATCACCACTTTATTGCAAGTGCTGTATTCATTTTTTGTATTTCGTGATACTGTGTATTGAAATATGCGTTAACTTTGTCTGTATGCTCTCCTCCTAGCCAAGTTTTATATAGGTTCTGTACCACTTTATTTTCTTCGGGTTTGCTTAATGGAAGTTTATGATACATAATTTCTAATGTCAACGCAAGTTCTCGAGGTTGAACGTTCCCATTGGGTCTTATTTGTGCTCCACCGTTTAAACAACCTAATAATAATAATTATATTAAATTTAGTTATTTGTATTGCTAAAACATTTTAAACAAAGCAATAATTACCACATGGACATGCCATAATTTCAACATAGTCATAAACGCATTTGCCTCTTTTCATTTTTTGAACTATGTTCTGTATATTTCGGAATCCATTAATAGTAGCGAACTTTAATAACACTTGATCATTTCTTTTCAATTCTGCCTCTTGAAAATCAGGATTTCTAAGATTTTTGAAATCCACTGTAACATTGTCCTCGTCAAAAAGATTCTTTGCTGCGTAACGAAAAATGAAATCTGCGTAACCACCTGATCCTGAGCCACTATGACCCCACAACTTATTTCCAATGTTTTCATTGCAAGACCCAAATGGTTGTTTAATTTCACCTTCGTCTATTTCGTTTAATACTAAACCATCTTCACTTAGCATCTGTTCCAATTCAACTGAAAAACCAAAAGTTGATATAATATTTATACTTAAATTTTAATAATTTTAAATTTAATGCAGAAATATGAATAAATATACTTGATGTTATGACACAGTCTACGTCTCTCGTCTTTCTTTGTTGATTGTAAAAATCTTCTCTGGAAGCTTCCAACTTCTTATCATAGCAGGGCATTACAGTTACATGATATATCTGTTCTGGTGACAGATTCATAACTTCAGCTAAGTGATACTTTACTAATGATCCCATAATTTGCTGAGGTGATTTTGTGATACTTATATATGGCAATATAAAATTTCCATGAGTTTTCTCAGCATAACATACCCAACCTATTAGAAATAAGAATATATTAGAAATAAAAATATATTATAAATCTCATAAATTGACTAATATCTATTTTTTTCATAAATATTTTACCTGGACATGAAGAAGACAACATTGGTAACTGATTTTTCATGCCCTCTTTACTGGCTTTATAACGTTCGACGAACTCTTTGGCAGCTTCTAATAAGACAAAATCGTCAGCCACTGTCATATCCAATACTGCATCAGCTCCCAATCGATAGAAAAATCCTGCTAGTTTATGGAGAGTTTGCTCAGGGGTAAGTTCATAGTGTTGTGCCAGTGACAACACTGGTTGCACTGATAGACTTACTATTATATATTTAGAATCTGTGCTTCCTACATTCTACAAAATGATATTAAAACAACATTTAAAATATAAAATAAATTAAGAATCTTAATAATTTTATATATCTCATTCAAGGATAAATATTGTAGATATAAATCTAAGGTTTATATTTATAAAAGAATCAGTAATAATTAGTGCTGTATATTTCTATACATTGCTATAGATATTTAAATACTTGATATTTTGTTTAATATATAAAATTTCTTTACTTTTGTATATAAATTAGAAAACTATAAAATATTTATACATTGTAGTAACATTTATTCTTTACCTGTTGAACTACTTTCTCTTGAAACACCCTAAGCAATTCTTCTCGACTTTGTTGAGTAACGAGCACACTTTCAGCAGATGTAATACAACCACTGCATGCTAAACAGTCTGCAAGTGTAATCTCAACTTTTTGTAATTTTTCTGGTTGTTCAATCTGTATAATAAAGCAAACTTTAATGAAAACTTTTATGTTAGAATTATACTTTGGCAAAATGAATGTTCTAGACATTTACTTCATTGAGCGAAAGGGCATTATCTGATTGTATTTTTATCTTTGCACCTGTTTTGCTTTTGTTTGCTTGCATTTCTATGGGTTTAATGCATTCCTGTAACAAATGTAATTTAAAATAATACATGAAAATTAGATCCAATACAGAATGATATTGATCATTATACCTGCGATGGAGTGATGAAATCATCCAGATTTGTAATTTGCAACGCTCCACTGAATCTTGATGCCATTTTTTCTAAATTTTACTTCTTTCCTAGATATTTTCTGTAAACAATTTATATAAAAGAAATTTACAAAAAATCTTTTCCTTTTATAAAGAAAATGTTTTTCAATTAAATAAATATTTATTTTTCAAGATCGTTAAAACTGTTTATACAATTGTAGATTATTTTTTATAAATTATAATTCATCGTGAAGATGAATGCAGCAAAAACAAAGCTTTCCAACGTTAGCTAATAAATATTAATGTCGAATTGAGATATTAACCTCTTTATTCTTGAAACATAAATGACTCACTAAATTTCATAATTTCTGTAATTCTTTATATAAATAAAGCGTCTATATCGCAATTCGACTACGTGCTAAAACTAAAAATAATGATAACAAAACATGCCTATATCCAAGAGATAAGAAATTCATTAAATTAGTACAACATAAATGTCAATAAATGTCTTCGTGACGGATAATTTATGATGGTGACAATGTGCTCCTCTGACTCACTGACCTGCGCCTGGGACACCGCAACCGTGCCATTGTATAAAGTATTCGTGTTAGCATTGTTAGAGGCGCGATTTGCTTATAAAATTGCAATAATGACCGAAGTGAGAAAGGACGACATTGTAAAAATTCTTCACACTTATCCGTTTTGTAGAGTAAGTAAAATGCACGTCGCATTTTATTATAATTTGTTGTATAACTTTCGCTGCGTAAATAGATGTAAAATATGACGTTTGATCAATACATACGGGAAGTATATCGACACTTCTGATTTAAAATCAAAATTACGCGCATTTTATTTAATTTCGAATGAATATCAATTTGTTTGTGTCTAATTTGATTCTATAATATATAAAAATATTAATATCTAAAAATTATTTTAAATATTATTATGTATTACTTAAAATTTATAAAAATTTGGAGAAATTATAATATTGTCATTGCAAAAATTATCCAGCTAGATCCAAATATATATACGTGTGTGTGTGTGTGTGTGTGTGTGTGTGTGTGTGTGTGTGTGTGTGTGTGTGTGTGTATATATATGAGTTGGGTAAATTACTGGAATCTTTTGGTAATATAAATTTCTTTAATAATGTATAATTTTTTTAATGATGTTTATTTACAGAAATGCGATATGTCCGACGAAATGAAACAGGAAGCGATGGAATTATGTGTAACTGCAGCAGAAAAATACGCAGACAATTATGAGAGCGTATCTCGAATGATTAAGGAGACAATGGATAAAAAATTCGGTGCATCATGGCACACTGTTGTTGGAGAAGGCTACGGTTTTGAAATAACTTATCAATTGAAACACCTTCTATATATGTATTGTGCTGGCAATTTGGCAATATGCATTTGGAAATCTGCATAGTGCAGTTTCGACATTTATTATAATTTATTTTATGTATTTGTGTGTATTTATGTGTTTATATAATGTATATATATGTGCTTGAATGTACATAAAAGTACTTTCATATGAATGTGTGAAGCATATGTAAGATAAACTGTTACAAGAGGAAGAATGTTTAATTGTAATATCTCAGTGTGGGTCCAACTGTGTGTTTAAATTAAATATTTTATACTCATAATTAAACATATTGGAAACACAAAACTAATGATGATAATCTGATAATCATTAAGATGTATCATATAAAATATAACAATTAAAATATAGAAATACTTTCTGGTACAGATTATATTTAAATTATTTATTTTTATTTAGAAAACAATTTAATATATGACAGTATGTGTAAAAATATATAAGATTCAATATTAAAGTACTTGTTTGTAAGAAGGTAATAATAATACATAACATATATTTAGAAAAATTCATATACATGACAGTATTTGAAAGTACATATTTATCTTTTGCATGTAAATTTATCAAAAACCTGTAACCGTCCTCCATACAAGAACTGCTACGTTACCTCCAATAAACATATATAATAGTGAATTCTCTTGATATGTAGTTGCACATGCATAAGCTTCCCCGACGACTACTTGAAATGGTGGACCAAATTTTTTATCCAGATTATCTTTGATCATGCGAGCTGCATGCTCATAATTCTCTGAATATTTTTCCACAGCAGTGACACAGGTTTCTATAGCTTCCTGCTTCATATCCTCTGGCATATCACTGTGCTAAAGAAAATTTCTGCAATAATTAAAATATCCTAATTGACTTGTGATATGTTACAAACAAAATCAATTTACCTTACATAATGGATATGTATGAATCATCGAAGTTGCAACTTCTTTCTTTATCTCTCCAGCCCACATTTTATAAAGATATCTGTTTAATTATTTTATTGTATACTCAGACATACAACAGTAAAAATTATATTGTGTTTTTAATATTCGATAGGATCCATATATTCAATATGATATATATCTGTTATTTATATACATATGACAAACAAATGAACATATAACATGTACACGTTATTGAAATTTTTCAAGAAAATGAATTGAGAATTTATAATTTTATGTACTTAACATATTTTATGTACATACATATGTGTATATATATATATTATATGTGTATATATATTAAAACTATATATATATTACGTAGTTTAATTTATAATAATTATTATAATATATATACATACACGAGTTTATTGATTTTTAATTGCGCCAAAAAATAAACAACTTTGATTAAAATGTATTAATTGTTATAAATAATAAATTTCGGTAGCTTAATAATAATATTAATCGGAAATTAATTAATTTTAAGATGTTATAAGCAAGAAAATAGTTTTAATATAGAAATTACATATTATTTTTTTAGAAATTGCTTTTAGAAATTGATTTTTTTTTCTCACAAATCGAAAGGTTATGATGTCTCTTCTTGATGAGTTTCGGGTCGTACTAAAATCGTGGGATTTTTAACGCGTTCCAAAACTCATGCAAAAATAGCGCTGCAATTTTTCCGCGAATACTTGTCGATGTTTGACATAATTCGAGAAAGCTCGGTGATACTCGAAAATAAATTAGTATTATCCGATTATCAAAGGATTATCAGAGGATCAAGGGCAACATTTAGGAGAAACAGAAAAGAAGAAAAGAAAAAAGAATAGGAAAAATCTGTTTCCGCCATTTGCGTGTCGATGATCGGTGTGCGATAGTGTGAGTTTCGCGTCCTCGACGTTCCTTTCGCCGGTAGATCCATTAACGTCATATATGTGTTTCACACTTTTTTTCTCGGTCATCTCCCTTACACGCACAACTGTGCATTAGCCAGTGCATTGCCGAGTGTTCCCTTTTGCATATATGACTGCAATAGAAAGTACGAAAGAGATCGTTCCCGACACGACGGTGTCATTAACGTCTGCGATACGTTAACATGTCTGCCCTTCAAAAGTCAGTTTTGAAATCCAGATTACCACCATCGGCCATCAATTTCTCTGCTTTGAACTCCAGGTTTGTGTTGACTTGTGAAATCGTATGAAAGTAGGATTTTTAATAAGTTACTGAATAAGTTGAAGGAAATTGCTATAAAATCATATACAAAAATTTTTTTAAAGACTTAGTAAGTCGAGGGGAGCTCAGCGAAGAAGAGACTACGAACCAGTACGATGGGATCCGTATTTTGATCATTCCAAGGATGTACCAGTGGGACAGAACACTTTTCATGTTTATATCAAGGGCACTGAGGGACCATTATTAGTTTTATTGCATGGCGGTGGTTATAGTGGTTTAACTTGGGCAGAACTCACAGTATGTATCATTTGTAGTTGCTAATAACATGTTGAGAAAGAGATTAATACGCATTATTAATTTTAGAAATCGATTATGACAATGGTATTATGTAGAGTCATGGCGATTGATCTTAGAGGTCATGGGGATACTCATACCACAGATGATGATGACTTGTCTGCAGATACTTTAGCATCGTGAGTAAAATGTACATTTTTTTTTAATCTTGCTTATATTTTTATTATTATAATAAGGTTGATTGTATTTTTTTAATCTATGTATTTTAATCTTCAAGTAAGAATAAATATATATAATATATATAAAT